GGGTCTGTGGGCTCCGTGTGTGTAGACTCAGGTCTGTGTGTGCTCTGTGTGTGTAGACTTGGGTCTGTGTGTGCTCTGTGTGTGTGTGTGTAGACTCGGGTCTGTGGGCTCTGTGTGTGTAGACTCGGGTCTGTGTGTCCTCTGTGTGTGTAGACTCGGGTCTGAGTGTGCTCTGTGTGTGTAGACTCAGGTCTGTGTGTGCTCTGTGTGTGTAGACTCGGGTCTGTGTATTCTGTGTGTGTAGACTCAGGTCTGTGTGGGCTCTGTGTGTGTAGACTCGGGTCTGTGTTGGCTCTGTGTGTGTAGACTCGGGTCTGTGTGCTCTGTGTGTGTAGACTCGGGTCTGTGTGGTCTGTGTGTGTAGACTCGGGTCTGTGTGGGCTCTGTGTGTGTAGACTTGGGTCTGTGTGTGCTCTGTGTGTGTAGACTCGGGTCTGTGTGGGCTCTGTGTGTGTAGACTCGGGTCTGTGTGTGCTCTGTGTGTGTGTGTGTAGACTCGGGTCTGTGGGTTCTGTGTGTGTAGACTCGGGTCTGTGTGTGCTCTGTGTGTGTAGACTCGGGTCTGTGTATTCTGTGTGTGTAGACTCAGGTCTGTGTGGGCTCTGTGTGTGTAGACTCGGGTCTGTGTATTCTGTGTGTGTAGACTCAGGTCTGTGTGGGCTCTGTGTGTGTAGACTCGGGTCTGTGTATTCTGTGTGTGTAGACTCAGGTCTGTGTGGGCTCTGTGTGTGTAGACTCGGGTCTGTGTGGGCTCTGTGTGTGCTCTGTGTGTGTAGACTCGGGTCTGTGTGGGCTCTGTGTGTGTAGACTCGGGTCTGTGTGTGCTCTGTGTGTGTGTGTAGACTCGGGTCTGTGGGCTCTGTGTGTGTAGACTCGGGTCTGTGTGTGCTCTGTGTGTGTAGACTCGGGTCTGTGTGGTCTGTGTGTGTAGACTCGGGTCTGTGGGCTCTGTGTGTGTAGACTCGGGTCTGTGTGTGCTCTGTGTGTGTAGACTCGGGTCTGTGTGCTCTGTGTGTGTAGACTCGGGTCTGTGTGTATTCTGTGTGTGTAGACTCAGGTCTGTGTGTGCTCTGTGTGTGTAGACTCGGGTCTGTGTGGGCTCTGTGTGTGTAGACTCGGGTCTGTGTGTGCTCTGTGTGTGTGTGTGTAGACTCGGGTCTGTGGGCTCTGTGTGTGTAGACTCGGGTCTGTGTGTGCTCTGTGTGTGTAGACTCGGGTCTGTGTGGTCTGTGTGTGTAGACTCGGGTCTGTGGGCTCTGTGTGTGTAGACTCGGGTCTGTGTGTGCTCTGTGTGTGTAGACTCGGGTCTGTGTGCTCTATGTGTGTAGACTCGGGTCTGTGTGTATTCTGTGTGTGTAGACTCAGGTCTGTGTGGGCTCTGTGTGTGTAGACTCGGGTCTGTGTATTCTGTGTGTGTAGACTCAGGTCTGTGTGGGCTCTGTGTGTGTAGACTCGGGTCTGTGTGGGCTCTGTGTGTGTAGACTCGGGTCTGTGTGTGCTCTGTGTGTGTAGACTCGGGTCTGTGTGGGCTCTGTGTGTGTAGACTCGGGTCTGTGTGTGCTCTGTGTGTGTGTGTGTAGACTCGGGTCTGTGGGCTCTGTGTGTGTAGACTCGGGTCTGTGTGTGCTCTGTGTGTGTAGACTCGGGTCTGTGTGCTCTGTGTGTGTAGACTCGGGTCTGTGGGCTCTGTGTGTGTAGACTTGGGTCTGTGTGTGCTCTGTGTGTGTAGACTCGGGTCTGTGTGCTCTGTGTGTGTAGACTCGGGTCTGTGTGCTCTGTGTGTGTAGACTCGGGTCTGTGTGTGCTCTGTGTGTGTGTGTGTAGACTCGGGTCTGTGGGCTCTGTGTGTGTAGACTCGGGTCTGTGGGCTCTGTGTGTGTAGACTCGGGTCTGTGTGCTCTGTGTGTGTAGACTCGGGTCTGTGTGTGCTCTGTGTGTGTAGACTCGGGTCTGTGTGGGCTCTGTGTGTGTAGACTCGGGTCTGTGTGTGCTCTGTGTGTGTAGACTCGGGTCTGTGTGCTCTGTGTGTGTAGACTCGGGTCTGTGTGCTCTGTGTGTGTAGAGTCAGGTCTGTGGGCTCTGTGTGTGTAGACTCGGGTCTGTGTGTGCTCTGTGTGTGTAGACTCGGGTCTGTGTGTGCTCTGTGTGTGTAGACTCGGGTCTGTGGGCTCTGTGTGTGTAGACTCGGGTCTGTGTGTGCTCTGTGTGTGTAGACTCGGGTCTGAGTGTGCTCTGTGTGTGTAGACTCGGGTCTGTGTGTGCTCTGTGTGTGTAGACTCGGGTCTGTGGGCTCTGTGTGTGTAGACTCAGGTCTGTGTGTGCTCTGTGTGTGTAGACTCAGGTCTGTGTGTGCTCTGTGTGTGTAGACTCAGGTCTGTGTGGGCTCTGTGTGTGTAGACTCAGGTCTGTGTGTGCTCTGTGTGTGTAGACTCAGGTCTGTGTGCTCTGTGTGTGTAGACTCAGGTCTGTGGGCTCTGTGTGTGTAGACTCGGGTCTGTGTGCTCTGTGTGTGTAGACTCGGGTCTGTGTGGGCTCTGTGTGTGTAGACTCAGGTCTGTGGGCTCTGTGTGTGTAGACTGGGGTCTGTGTGGGCTCTGTGTGTGTAGACTCGGGTCTGTGTGTGGTCTGTGTGTGTAGACTCGGGTCTGTGGGCTCTGTGTGTGTAGACTCGGGTCTGTGGGCTCTGTGTGTGTAGACTCGGGTCTGTGTGGGCTCTGTGTGTGTAGACTCAGGTCTCTGTGTGCTCTGTGTGTGTAGACTCGGGTCTGTGTGTGCTCTGTGTGTGTAGACTCGGGTCTGTGTGTGCTCTGTGTGTGTAGACTCAGGTCTGTGTTTGCTCTATGTGTGTAGACTCAGGTCTGTGTGCTCTGTGTGTGTAGACTCAGGTCTGTGTGCTCTGTGTGTGTAGACTCAGGTCTGTGTGGGCTCTGTGTGTGTAGACTCGGGTCTGTGGGCTCTGTGTGTGTAGACTCAGGTCTGTGAGGGCTCTGTGTGTGTAGACTCGGGTCTGTGGGCTCTGTGTGTGTAGACTCAGGTCTGTGTGCTCTGTGTGTGTAGACTCAGGTCTGTGTGCTCTGTGTGTGTAGACTCAGGTCTGTGTGGGCTCTTTGTGTGTAGACTCGGGTCTGTGGGCTCTGTGTGTGTAGACTCAGGTCTGTGTGGGCTCTGTGTGTGTAGACTCAGGTCTGTGTGGGCTCTGTGTGTGTAGACTCAGGTCTGTGTTTGCTCTATGTGTGTAGACTCGGGTCTGTGTGCTCTGTGTGTGTAGACTTGGGTCTGTGGGCTCTGTGTGTGTAGACTCAGGTCTGTGTGTGCTCTGTGTGTGTAGACTCAGGTCTGTGTGTGCTCTGTGTGTGTAGACTCGGGTCTGTGTGGGCTCTGTGTGTGTAGACTCGGGTCTGTGTGGGCTCTGTGTGTGTAGACTCGGGTCTGTGTGGGCTCTCTGTGTGTAGACTCGGGTCTGTGTGTGCTCTGTGTGTGTAGACTCGGGTCTGTGTGTGCTCTGTGTGTGTAGACTCGGGTCTGTGTGTGCTCTGTGTGTGTAGACTCGGGTCTGTGTGGGCTCTGTGTGTGTAGACTCAGGTCTGTGTGCTCTGTGTGTGTCGACTCAGGTCTGTGTGTGCTCTGTGTGTGTAGACTCAGGTCTGTGTGTGCTCTGTGTGTGTAGACTTGGGTCTGTGTGGGCTCTGTGTGTGTAGACTCGGGTCTGTGTGTGCTCTGTGTGTGTAGACTCGGGTCTGTGTGTGCTCTGTGTGTGTAGACTCGGGTCTGTGTGTGCTCTGTGTGTGTAGACTCAGGTCTGTGTGTGCTCTGTGTGTGTAGACTCGGGTCTGTGTGGGGTCTGTGTGTGTAGACTCAGGTCTGTGGGCTCTGTGTGTGTAGACTCGTGTCTGTGTGGGCTCTGTGTGTGTAGACTCGGGTCTGTGTGCTCTGTGTGTGTAGACTCAGGTCTGTGTGGGCTCTGTGTGTGTAGACTCAGGTCTGTGTGGGCTCTGTGTGTGTAGACTCGGGTCTGTGTGGGCTCTGTGTGTGTAGACTCGGGTCTGTGTGCTCTGTGTGTGTAGACTCAGGTCTGTGTGCTCTGTGTGTGTAGACTCGGGTCTGTGTGCTCTGTGTGTGTAGAGTCAGGTCTGTGTGGGTTCTGTGTGTGTAGACTCAGGTCTGTGTGTGCTCTGTGTGTGTAGACTCGGGTCTGTGTGGGCTCTGTGTGTGTAGACTCAGGTCTGTGTGCTCTGTGTGTGTAGAGTCAGGTCTGTGTGGGCTCTGTGTGTGTAGACTCAGGTCTGTGTGTGCTCTGTGTGTGTAGACTCAGGTCTGTGTGCTCTGTGTGTGTAGACTCGGGTCTGTGTGCTCTGTGTGTGTAGACTCAGGTCTGTGTGGGCTCTGTGTGTGTAGACTCGGGTCTGTGTGCTCTGTGTGTGTAGACTCGGGTCTGTGTGTGCTCTGTGTGTGTAGACTCGGGTCTGTGTGTGCTCTGTGTGTGTAGACTCAGGTCTGTGTGGGTTCTGTGTGTGTAGACTCGGGTCTGTGTGCTCTGTGTGTGTAGACTCGGGTCTGTGTGTGCTCTATGTGTGTAGACTCAGGTCTGTGGGCTCTGTGTGTGTAGACTCGCGTCTGTGTGTGCTCTGTGTGTGTAGACTCGGGTCTGTGTGTGCTCTGTGTGTGTAGACTCGGGTCTGTGTGTGCTCTGTGTGTATAGACTCAGGTCTGTGTGTGCTCTGTGTGTGTAGACTCGGATCTGTGTGGGCTCTGTGTGTGTAGACTCAGGTCTGTGTGGGCTCTGTGTGTGTAGACTCGGGTCTGTGTGCTCTGTGTGTGTAGACTCAGGTCTGTGTGTGCTCTGTGTGTGTAGACTCGGGTCTGTGTGTGCTCTGTGTGTGTAGACTCGGGTCTGTGTGGGCTCTGTGTGTGTAGACTCGGGTCTGTGTGTGTAGACTCGAGTCTGTGCGCGCTGCATGCCGCACCGTGAGCGCTGCGCTCCTGGGCAGGTGCAGCCTTACCTTGTCCGGGTCCGAGGCTGTAATGACCCACACGCAGTGCGCGTTGTCTTCGTACTGAACCGGGTAGTTGGGTGAGGTGATGACACCACTGGGCCCCCGCAGATTCGAGCCGCACGTCCTGGCTGCAATTAGAAAGAAATCCTGTCACGTGTACAGTCTCTGCCCAGAGCAGGACAGACGCTATGCCCGCGGTTTCCAGACCCTCACGGACACTGGCTGAAGGATGCGAGTGGGGGAGTGGATTTTGCTCGGCCTTCAGGACCCCGCCTGATGTGTCCCACATTGCTAGTGTCCCCTGATCACGTCGTGTTTGCACACACATCGCCCTTCTGAATGGGGAAGGACTGATGAACCTTCCATTTCAACTCCTGGTCCAAGGCAGCCACCTTTGCATGCATGTGGTGGTATAGAGAATCTGAGTAGATACACAGTCACACCCGGACACAAGGTGACGGTGAAATTTCAGAGCATCAGGTCATTTGACCGGTGCCCCGCCAGGTGTGAGCTTGAAGAAGCGGCTCTGTCTCCCACAGCCTCCTCCTCCCATGTCAAAATGAGGGGCAGAGGGATGGTCCTCAGACCTCTTTCAAGGTTTCGATTCGGTTCCACTCAACAGTGCCAACATCCCTACGGCATAATGCAAATAGCAGCTTAAGCTGTGATGAATGTTCACGGTAAGAAAACAGAAACGGCCAGTCTAGAAGCAGAAAGAAACTATCTTTTCCTGTTTGTATCTTGAAGTTGAAATGAAAGAGCAAGTGAAGCATAGAAATTGCAAAACGAATAAAAAATAGTCTTCATTTGGGACTTTGAAATATTTGTTTCTCTCTTATTTTTAGCAAGGTTTTTTTTTTTCAGATGGATGGAAAAAGTTTGGAAGTCTAATGTCGCCTTGATTCTCGTTACAGTGTTAATTATTTATACAGAGATGGGAGAGGAGAGCTGGAGGAGCTCCGTGCTCAGCTCAGGGCCGTCGGCCCACACTGCAGAGGCTGCCACCGCGGAGCCCGCTCCCCTGCTCCCCTCCCCCAGCCCAGGGACCTGGCACGGGCCACTCATCTTTCTAGAAAACTCAGCCACCATCCTCCAGGACTCCCGGCCTCAGGGCCTCGCTTGTGGGAACCGGGAGGACGTTGCCCAGCTTTCCTGCATGCCGTGGGACACATGACTCAACCTTCCCTTGACCTTGATACAACACGATGCACATGGTGCCTCCTCCCACAAGCAGCAGAGCTCTTCTGCAATCACACTTCAGCCTGGTCCAGATGGGCACAGGACCCTGTGAGGAAGACCAGGACGGGGAGGACGGGGAGGACCGGGAGGACGGGGAGGACCGGGAGCACGGGGAGGGGGTGCGGCCCCCAGGTAGCTTGGGCTTGGATGGGCATGCAGGAGGAGGAGGAGGAGGATGGGGAGGAGGGTGGGACCCCCGGGTGTCCTGGTCTGGAATGGGCACGCAGGATGAGGATGGGAAGCATGGGAGGGGCACGGGCCATGCAGGCCTGGGGTTATCCACTTCACTTGGGCTGCAGGACTCTGGTCATCACGACCACCCATGCCCGGAGGCCCCAGGCACACTCTCCCTGTGTACCTTGTGTGGCTACTGAGCCCTACCTCCCTTGGCGGCCCAGCCAGGCCCACCTCAGCCACGTCCACACCCAAGCCTGACACAATCCGTGGGTGACTACTGTGGCCTGACGCATGCTGTGCTCTGACCGTCTGCCCAGCTTGTAAATCCACATTTCACCTACATGCCTTCCAGATAAAACTGGAATTCAGAAAATGAGAACACAATACATCGAGAGGAACAGCACAGCTGCAGAGGAAAACTCGTCAAATTTTAGTGCCAACCCATGCCACTTGCCCATCTATGGATTGGTTGCATAAGGCACACCTGATTTATCAGTTAATATGGAGCTTTTATTTATCCATTTAAGTTCAGTTTTAGGAAATTTTTTTCTATTTTGTAGTTAACTACTCAGTCAAACTGAAGGAAGGAATACTCGTATCAGTTGTTTAAATTAGTGGGCTCACATTTCAAGCTTTCTTGCTAGCAAATCCATGAACATATTGTAAAGTATATTGCTGGTGTATTTTAAGAGTCGTTTTTGCCAGCTACAGATTCTACACCGACATTCATGCTGTCAGGTGGAAGATTAAACCAGCCGGTGTCAGAGGTCGAGACCTTTGCTTTCTTCTCTTCAGCAATACCTGCTTTGTGTGATTACGTGATGTCTCTTCTTACTTACTTTGAGCTTCTACATTTATAAAATTGCTATTCTAATCATGACTGCATCTATGTGTGTCTTGAGGTAGGAATCGAACAAGAAAAGCACTGAGCACATGATCTCCTATGACACAGAATCCGTGTTAAAAGTTTCACAAAAGCCTGGACATGGAAGATACAGCAGACAGGGGAAAATCTCTAAATCCATTTCCTTAACCAGGAAGTTCACAATAAGCAAATAAAGCCATATCAAAGGCAGAGAGAGCCCTGGAGTGTGTCTGAAGTGGGCAGGCCGGGGAGAGCAGGTAGTCTCAGAGGCTTTGGGACCAGGGGGTAGAACAGACAGACACCTGGATGTCCAAGGAGATGCATGCACGGAAGGTAGGTCAGCAAAGCCCTGCAGCCTCTGGGACACAGGGGGCACTGGCTAGGCACTTGTTTTCCTGTTGTTGCCTGTCAACCCCGGAGAAGTACAGAAATACAAAATGTATTACTCTCAATAACTTAGTGACACAATGGAGGAAAATTACTTTATCCTAAAGTGATCACCAAGTAAGAAGGTACAAAACCCAAGAATTTGTGAACAGTCATAGAAATGGTTTTTATAGAACTCCAAATTCAATGGAGCTGGAAGAAGTTAACTGTGGACATGTATCTTTAAATCCTTGAGACAGTAACTACTTGTACAAACAATCATGTATAAAATGGAATCCAAGCATTGATGCTAGACCTGTAACCTAGGGGAATGACTCATCCTTCAGGTGTAAACACTTTCCATTGCTATGCCAACGGTCATTTCTTCATAGACATAAAAACATGGGTAGTGAAGGAAAGCAGGTTAATAAGGATAATTCTGAGCTTGCTAACCTGGAACTCCAAGGCAATATTAACTTTATTCCATGACCTCTGTTGGCTCCAATTAACTTTTCTGTAGTTATGGTTACAATGGAAATAATACTTCATTTTTCTTCACTGCTCTTTCAACTCTGGGAGCAACTCAAGATACTAGCCCCAGACTGAAGCGCATTAGCACTGGAGAAAGTTCTTGACATAAATCTCCCCTAAATACTGATGAAAGGCAATGTCAGCCTGAACATTTCACTTAGGAAATAAGATGAGAACCTCCTCAAGAATCCTTCATTGTTTGCTTATTTCAGAAATCTACTGCCGGTTAGAGACACTTAGACAGTTTTAAACAGCTCATAATGTTTTACTCCACAAAAAAGTCATAATAGTTGTTTTCACATCTCTAAATGAAGCAGGCATAATTTCAAATGAAATCACTTGGATAATTACTGAGTTATGACAACGTTCATCTGTGTGGTAACAGAAAGACAAGGTAATGCCCCCACGGGTGGAGTTCATCAGCTAATGCTGCCGCTGGCCGTCCACATGGGTTTCTAGAAGGGAGGGTCGCAGCTGCGACACTGCGGTTTATCAAACGCTTGGAGAGAGGCTAATGACCGAAGAGGTAGAGGCCCTCCCAGGGAGGAGGAGTGAGGACCGGGAGAACAGGCCTTTTCTGGCTCCAGTGATGTGGAAGGTCCCTGGGCCGAGCAGACTGGAGATCCGGGCCGAGGCATTTCCCTGTATCTGACAGAGTGGCTGGCCTGGCCCACAGAAGGGCCAAGAATTCTATAATGGCTGAAGAATGAGGAAGCGCAAGCCACCATGTCACTCATTTTGGCACATGCCAATGACTGTGGTGACAGCACAGGAAACAGATTTGCCTTGCGGAACCCATCTCACTGAAGCAAACCTCCCGGTGCTCTGGTCTGAGTCATGGCAGAGAGTTTGAATGTCACGGTCCTTGTCCATCAGCATAAGGTCATCTTTAATAGTTATCAAAGATTCACTTTTAGGAATATTTTCACCAACAGAGCTCTTCTTATTGGTGAGTCAGCCTGTCTGCAGGCTGACTGCAGGGGGGTCAGTGGTTAGGAAGGACCTGGCTCATGTAGGGTTCTTCCCAGGTGACACCCTAGACAAGTTAGGGATGGCTCTTTACAGCCCAAAGGAACCATAAGCAAGCTCCTTCTAGAGTTGAGTCCTCCAACCTGTGGCTCTGCAGTAGGTCAAGGGCCTGCTCTGAGATGCATCATGCCACAGGTACAAAACATGCACCAATGTGCACGATATATGAATAAAAGAGGAAAGAATATACAAATCCCTCTTCATAAGCTTTATATCATCGTATGTTACAATAACATCTTGTATGTTTGGGCATAATAAACTATTAAATTAAATGCAGGTTCTGGTTGGCTTCTTAGGTCTGATTGTTAAGAACTTCAAAGTTAAATGTATGTTTTGCTACATGTGAGGGATGGGGAGGGCAGAGGTAGGAAGTCAGTGCCAGCCGTGCTTGGCATGAGCACCACCTGTTCCCGCCGGGGCTCTGGACGCACACTGTCACTTCTGGTTCATCTGTCCCTGTAGTGTGGTCAGAGAAGGACTAAGCATGAGATGTCTGCCTGCGCAGAGTGATGCTGTGAGGACTGAGCACAAGATGTCCTGTGCAGGGTGATGCTGTGAGGACTGAGCACGAGATGTCTGCCTGCACAGGGTGATGCTGTGAGAAGGACTGAGCACGAGATGTCTGCCTGCGCAGGGTGATGCTGTGAGAAGGACTGAGCATATGTCCTGTGCAGGGTGATGCTGTGAGAAGGACTGAGCACGAGATGTCCACCTGTGCAGGATGATGCTGTGAGGACTGAGCACGAGATGTCTGCCTGCACAGGGTGATGCTGTGAGAAGGACTGAGCACGAGATGTCTGCCTGCGCAGGGTGATGCTGTGAGAAGGACTGAGCATGAGATGTCTGCCTGCACAGGGTGATGCTGTGAGGACTGAGCACGAGATGTCTGCCTGCGCAGGGTGATGCTGTGAGGACTGAGCA